CAGAGTCTCATGGACCCATGGAGTCAGACTAAACCATGGCCTTTCTGCACTCCACGTGATCTCAGAAAGTCAGTCTGCCTGTCTGTACAGCATCCCATGACCATAGCTGGAGAGATACCAAAAGGATGTCTGGATTGATCCAGCTCCATAGGGCATGTGGTGTCCATGAATTCACTCTGGGGAATATGGGGGAGAGACTAGGGGAGATGTATGAGTCTTCAGAATGGCACTGCCCCAAGACACACAGGGCTTAGTGGACTGGGAGCTGGAGGACCTAAAGCAAAGAGTGGATTCGGACATGAACTCTAGGTCAGTCAACTGAAGTGCAAGGGTGGATTTGACAATGAGCTTTGTCTAATTCACAAAACTGGACAAGTATGGCACTTTCCAAAAGTTTTACCATCAAAATATCCCATCATCATCCAGAGCATATCTGTGTATTTAGGTAACTGAAGCAAAATCCCACAGGACCATCATGGTCCCTCCCTTTGCACCAGACACTTTTATTCTCCATTTTGCTCTGAGTTACTTTTGCAAAATGCTGCCTGCATCCCACTGAACTAATTTTACAAGTTCTATGAATAACCACACAACTTTGAAAAGTGGCAGTTGAAGTATCACCAGGAATTCATTTATTTTTGAATGGCTAGTGACTTTTCCTAAGCAATACCAAATGGGTCAGCTGATAATCAAAATCATAAAAAGCTATCTTTTTTCTCCTTCTCCAATTTTATTATTTTTTTACATTATTGTTCATTTTTAAACAATATTTGCTTCCCCCCACCCCCTCAGGTGGAGTCCCCATAGAGTTTCCTTCACCAGTGCACCCGTGCACCATCACCTCAGTCCCCTGTGCTCCTCCCTCCCTCCCTCTGCTCCCTCTCCCTCCTCCTCCCCTGCAGGATGTCTCTGATTTATAATTGTCTGTTTTTGCTTTGTTGTGTTTTGTACTGTTATTATTTTTTACACTGATGTCTTATTTGGTTCCCCTGTATTCCTACTGTAAGTGAAACCATCCAACATTTTTCTTTTTCCTTCTGGCTTATTTTACTGAGCATAATTCCTTCTAGCTCCATCCACGTTGCTGTGAATGGCATGAATTTATCTTTTTTGATTGCTGAATAATATTCCATGGTGTATATGTACCACATCTTCTTGATCCAGTCATCTATTTTTGGGCATTTGGGTTGTTTCCATGTTTTACTTATTATAAATAGTGCTGCAATAAACATAGGGTTGCAGGTGTTCTTTTGTTTTTTGTTTTTTTTTTTTGTTTTTTTTTTTGTTTTTGCAGCCTGGCTAGTGCTCCTTTAGGGCCAGATCTGACCCGATTCTTCCAGCTACCGTGACCTAGAGAAGACCTGGGTCTCTGCCCTTTACTTGGCCAGCAAGCCCTGAACCTTTGCTCTGCATTCTAATGCTACTGAGAGTCAGGACTGGAGCTGGGAGCCCTCTGGGTTAGACACTGAAGGAACATTTTCCTGTTTTAGTGTTGCTGTCTTCATTCATTGTGTTTTTTAAAGCAAAATTTGGGTTTGACTCTAGTAATAGTCAAATCTCCGCGAAGGCTGTGTGCTGTATATAGAATGCTCTGGAAATGGTGACCAGTCTGTGTTGTGCTATGAGAACATGAGGTTTATCTCAAATGGCTTAGAAATCGTATTACAGGATTTTTCCGTAGGACAAAACCTCACACTTAGAGTGACCCTTGAGGTGAGGGGGCAGGCAGCCTGTGAAACGTTCTTTTGCTGGTTTGTCTCCATTTGTTTCTTCTCTTTTGCCATGAGCCTCTATTTCTCCCCATTCCTTTGCTTTTTATTTATTTTATTTTTTAAAGATTTATTTATTATACAAGAACGGGGGTACAGGCCAGATGCGGGAGGGTGAGAGGATTCACCAGAGACAGAGTGGGGAACAGAACAGGTAAAGTGACGGAATACACTGCTGCGGGGAGCAGTGGTCGCGACAGGAGAGGTCTGTGTGCCATGTGGGATCCTCGCTGGACAGCCCGGATCAAACCGGCACTGCAGAGGCTGTGGACAGCTTCACAGTGCGGCGCTCAACCACCTGCGCCACCAGGGGAGGCCCTGCTTTTTTTAAATTTTTTTTATTTTTTATATTCCCCATACAAGTACAACCCCTTATTTTGACCCCAATCCTTCATTTCCCCACCCCCCAACCCCCCATAGAGGGTGCAGGTGCTCTTTGGAATTAATGTTTCTGTGTCCTTTGGGTAAATACCTAGGAGTGGAATTGCTGGATCATATGGAAGCTCTATCTTTAGTAGGTTGAGGAATCTCCACACAGCTCTCCATAGTGGTTGGACCAGTTTGCACTCAGCGAAATAAGCCAGAAAGAAAAAGAAAAATACGGGATGGTCTCACTCATAATAGGAATCTAGAAAACCTAAATATGGATCAGGAAAAAGAATAACTATAAGAAAGGAAAAAATTAACAAACAACTATGAACCAGAGACACTCTTTGGGGGGGGGGAGGGATTGGGGTCAAAATCGGGGTTGCAATTGTATGGGGAATATTAAAAAAAAAAAAAAAAAAAAAAAAAAGAGCTTACCAGAAAGTGAAAGGAGACCTTGGGAGGTACATTCTCTGCACAAAGTGCTGTGCTGGTGCTTGCGAATCCCCCTCCCCCATCCCCACTGCACATTAAATTTACTGACATCATTACACTCCTGGACTTCAAACTATGCTACAAAGCAATAATAATTAAAAAACATCAGGGTACTGGAACAAAAACAGACACATAGATCAGTGGATTTGAATTGAAAACCCGGAAAAAAAGTCACACATATATGGTCAACTAATCTATGTAAAAGGAGCAGAGAAATTGCACTGGAACAAGGACTGTCTCTTCAATAAATGGTGCTGGGAAAACTGGATGTCTACATGCAAAAGAATGAAACTAGATTACTACTTCACACCATACACAAATGTCAACTCAAAATGGACGAAAGCCTGAAATGTAAGGCCTGACACCATAAAATACATAGAAGAAAACATAGGCAAAACACTCCATGACATACATCTCAAAGACATATTTGGAGGATTCATCACCAGAAGCAAAGAAAATAAAGGGAAAGATAAATAACTGGGACACATCAAACTAAAAAACTTCTGTACAGCAAAAGAGATAATAAGCAAAATGAAGAGACAACCCCCAAATCGGGAGAAAATATTTGCACTCCATACAACCGATAAGGGGCTAGTATTAAAGATCTACAAAGAGCTTACACAACTCAACAAAACTGAAGTAATTAGCCCAGTCAAAAAATGGGCAAAAGAATTAAAAAGACACTTTTCCAAAGAAGAAATGCAAATGGCCAACACATACATGAAAAAATGCTCAACATCACTTATAACCAGGAAAATGCAAATCAAAACCATAAGGAGATGCCATCTTACACCAGTGTGAATGGCCCGTATTTTAAAAACTGGCAACAACAAATGTTGGCAAAGATGCAGATAAAAGGGATCCCTCTTACACTGCTGGTGGGAATGCAAACTGATCCAACCACTAAGGAAAGCTGTGTGGCAGTGTCTCAAATTACTAAAAATGGATCTACCTTATGAATCACTCCTGAAAATCTACCCAGAGGACACAAAAACATTAATTCAAAAGGAAATCTGCATTCCTATGTTTATTGCAGCTCTATTCTCAATAGATAAGCTATGGAAACAACCTAAGTACCCCCAAACAGATGACTGGATCAAGAAGATGTGGTATATATATGCCATGGAATACTGTTTAGCAATCAAAAAAGATAACTCATGCCATTCACAGCAACATGGATGGAGCTAGCAGGGATAATGCTCGGTGAAGTAAGTCAGAAGAAAAAAGAAAAATATTGGATGGTGTCACTCATAGGAGCGCTATAGGGAAATTGAACAAAGGGTCAAAATAAATAAATAAATAAATAAATATTAAAAAAGACAAAACCTGCAGGCAAACTGTAGATATAAGTCATATAGCAGGGGAGGGTGGGGAAGAGGAGTCAAAAGAGGGAAGAGGGGGCCTCCCCGGTGGTGCTGGGGAACAACCCACGTGGCGCGGCAGCCCGCTGCTCCCCTCAGCAGTGTATTTCAGTACATCTGCTTGTTTTGCTCCCTGCTCTCTCTGGTGAAGCTTCTCATCCCCCTCCCCCGCAACTCTGGCCTGTACCCCACTTCTTAAAAAAATTTTTTTAAAAATTAAAAAAAAGCAGGGAAGAGAAGAGCACAAGGTCCTATGATGATGGTTCACAGGTGATGTGGTTGTAGGAGATTTATTCATTTATTGCACAGAAATGAATAACAATGGAAGAAAAATAAATGAGAAATAAAAGCTATTTAGCAATTACAAATAAAGTTACTGACCTCTCTGGATGAAACCTATGATGGTGGGGGTAGAGTAGGGTGAGGAAGGAAGGGGAGGAGGGAGTAGCTGAGCTTGGTGCATTAAGCACCATTTTTATAATTAGATCATGATTCTTGGACTCAAACACAGGCTTCCTCTACACCTACAGCTGTTTCCTTCTCCGTCACCACCTCGACCCCAGGGCCAGTCCCAGCACCAGCCCCAGCAGCTGAATGCAGGTGGCTTTTCTTCCGAGGGCACTCGGCTGCTCTCCATGGCCCCTCCAGACCCTAGGGAGATGCCCCACAGACCAGGGTGCCTCAGGGGGAAAGGACAGGAGCAGGTGTGCCCGCCCAAGGTCCCAGGGGCTGGCCAGCAGCTGGCTGCGGTGAAAGGCAGTTGAACCCTGGATCCTGACCACAGCAGGGCTGTTGGCAGATGCCTCCCTGGGAGAGATCCCTTGCCCTCCAGGGGTAACAGTCACGGACCCTAGAGGGGGCCGGGTGCTGGGGGCAAGGACTGGAGAAGGCCCATCCAGAGAACGGGGCCACAAGGACAGGGGTGCACTGGGACAGCCACTTCCAGCAAGAGGGACTAGGAGTTCCTCCAGGGAGCCCACACCAGCAGGTCTTTTGACCCCGAGGGCAGATGAAGTCTAGGACAGGCCAGGTGGGCAGCGCGGTCCCCCGGGGGCAGAAACCTGGCCCCAGACAGTGCTGGCCCCTGCTGCTGCTGGGTCTGGCTGTGGGTGCCCATGGCCTAGAGCCCTCAACAACAGCACCAAGGACCAGGGCCCTGGGTCCCAGAAACCCTGAAGGAAGCACTCCTTGGAGTCTGTGGGACAGGTAAGGGGCTGAGTGAGACCTAGGGGAGTCAGAGGGCTTCTGCAGCCCAAACTGGGAGTAAAGGACAGAGAGTGGCAAAGAGGGGGGAAGGAGAGGAGAGGCCTGGGAAGACACTGGCTTTATTTAAAATGTGGACATTTTGTCCAGTGTGAATTTGTTTACATTCATTTTTATTTTTTAATATTGCATAAAATATCATTTATTTTAATTGCTGTACTATTTTGGCACCCCTTAAATTTTGCTCTCAAGGCTAGTGCTTCACTTGCCTCACCTTGGTCTTCTAGGTAGGATAGAAACGGGTCAGCAGGGACAGGATGTCAGTGGGGGTGGTAGCTTCTGTGGTCCCAAGATGCCCAGACTTCCTTCTCTTAGCTGATAACTACCCTCACCCTTCCTGTGCTGGACAGAGCCGCTTCCTGGTGACCAGCACATAAGCCAGCTGAAGCTGCCAGGGGACTTCCCTAGTGGCACCGGCTCACCAGAAACTTCAGTCAAGGACCCTTAGCCGGGCCTGCCTCCTGGGACTGGGCCCCCAAAACCCCAGCCCACCAACAGTGCAGGTGCCTCCATAGGACAGGTCCAGGCTAGGATATGGGGGGATGGCACAGTCCACCCTACTTGGCAGTGTGACCCCAGCCACCTTCTCTGTGTGGTTGGAAGTCCCAAGATAAAACACTAGGTATCCAGGTCCATTTATGATAAAGCTTTAATTTTAGGCATGAATCATTTTAAGGGCAGAACCTCTTTCAGTGGTCCCACAAGGCAGTCCTACTGTCATTCTGATTTTACAGATAGGGATAGAAGCCCAAAGAGGTGAAGTGACTGGCCCAAGGTCACACAGCCAGTCCAAACTCCTGTGTCCAAACTTAATAGCCTCCAACTGTCCCCATCCCCCCCTAAGCTGATTGGGCTAGCAAGTCTGTCTCTCTGGGCCTTAGTTTCCTCTCTACAAATTGAGAGGCTCAAAATGGATGAGGGCCTTGCAGCCTGATGCCCGCCCCCCTGAGGGATGCTGGAGTCACCATGATGTCAAGCTGAACTGGATGAGTCCATCCTCTGCTCTCCAGCAGTCCAGCCACAGGGTGGGTCAGCACATTTTGGTGTTGGGCTAGGCCTGGCACTTCAGTGTACAGCAGGGACTGCTCAGCAAGGTCAGCCCCAGGAAAGTGCACCGAGAGATGGAGCCCTCATCAAATCAGACAAGGCCCCAATTCAAGGTCCACCAGGATAGGGGCTGGGGGAATTGCTATCCACACACAGCATGATGTCTGCAGAACAGGCACCTACAGGGAGGGGCAGGGGAGCCCTGGGAAGAAGGTAAAAGGATTCACCTGGGCAAGGCAGTACAGTTGTGGAACACTCAGAAGCTACTGGGGGCCCACTGAAGCTGGAGGGCTGGAGCTAGTGGGTCCTGGGGCCAAGGTGGTCTGAGAAGAGGCTGAAGAGGTGGCCAGGACCAGACCTGGAAGACCCATCCCTGGAGAACAATTTATCAGAGGGACCTTTGCAAGGAAACTGACGTAATCAGACTTGGGTGGGTGGGAGAGCAGGAATCTAGAATTAAAGAGATCTCCAGGAGGGCGTGGCAATATCCCAGGTAGAGTGGACAGATGTGGACAGATTCAGGCAGTGAGAGGAAGAAAGAGAGGAGTCAGAATGCCCCATTCCCCACCCTATACCCTATCCCCCACATATCTCACCTCCCCACATCCTGCCTGGCTTTTGGATAAGAGAACACTGATTACGTCAGTGAGTTAAGAGAACACTGATTACGTCAGGTGTCCTGTAGTTTAATAAAATGGTCCAAGAGAAGGGTGAGCTGCAAGTCCTTGTCCCCTAAGGACTTCCACTCACTGAAGGACCACTGCCAGCAGGAGGGCCAGAGGGGGAGGGTCTGAACCAAGGAGGTATTGTCTGGTTGTGGGATGGACCTGTGGACCATTTTAGGGCCAGTGATATGGGAAAGAGGAGAAATGCCCAAACTAGTCTTAGTCTTCAAACTAGCTTCTTGAAGAAGCTCTAGCAAGTGCTAAGGAAAGGAAGCAGCTAGGGCTGAGAGGAGAGTGAGTTGCGCAGGCATAGCTCTGGAAGCATGCAGCTGGTGGGGGGGGGTGAGGAAGTGGCTGGTGGGGGGCCAGGGTGGGTGGAGGAGATGATGCAGGGTCTTAAACGAATTTTGTCCTGGGCTCCAGAAAGAGTCCTTAAGGGATTTAAGTAGAGGATTCTCAGAGGTGGATTTGTGTCTTGGGAAAAATGGTTCCAGATGGTAGGCTTGTGTGAGGCCCCATTAAAGCAGCAGAGAGTTTGTCCAGGCAGTGATCGGTTATGGAGATCCATGAAATTGGCAACCAGATGGTTGACCAGGGAGGAATGGACCCTCTCTTAAACAGTCAGTGAGAGACTGAAATTTTGAAATAAATAACACCATGTATCAAGATTCAGAAAGATGTGTGTTCACTCTAATCAAGCAACTCCACTTTTGGAAATGTGTCTTGAGGAAGTGATTAGAGCGTCTGCTATAGTATAGGTGTGTTCATGAGGAAAAAGTGGAAACCACCTCAATGTCCAAGGGAGGGAAAATTACTATGGTTCATCCATCATCCAATATGATTTTTTGGGTAACTGTAATGATGTACTTTTTAAAACAGGCTGTAAATGTCATGCTATCAGTTTTTCCCTGTATCTATTTCATTCTAATTTACATAGAGTAAAATTCACTCTTTTGATATAGCAGTTGTATAAATGTTAATGAAGTCATTCAACTGCTATGTGTAATTTCTGCCATATTCAAGATACAAAACATTTCCACACCTCACAAAATTTCCTTGTGCTCCTTTACAGTCAAACCCTTTTTCTGTCCCAGCCTTGGCAACCCCTGTTCTCTCTCACCCTATAGCTTTACCTTTCCTGGAATGTTGTATAAATGTAATCTTTTTTGTAAAATAAAACTTTTATTTTGAGATATTTGTAGATTCACAGGTGATAGTAAAAAGTATAGAGAGTTCCTGTTGGCCTCCTTGATGGTCTAGAGGTTAAGTGTCAGTGCTATCACCTCTACAGCCTGAGTTCCATCCCCAGCCAGGGACCTAACCCACATGGTGCGGCAGACCTCTCCTGTCTTGCCCACTGCTCCCCTCAGCAGTGTGTTTCACTAGATCTGCCTGTTCTGTTCCCCGTTCTGTCTCTGGTGAATCATCTCACCCACCACACCTCTGGCCTGTACCCCAGTTCTTGTGTGCATAAATAAATAAATTTAAAAAGAATTAAATATACAGAGAGGAATCCTATGCAATTTTTAACAGGTTTCCCCCACTGGAAATATTTTGTAAAATTACAGGAAAATATCACAACCAGGATATTGACCTTGACATTGTCAAGGTACAAAACAATTCTCTTTCCAGGAAGATCCTTCATGTTGCCCTTTACAGAAACACCTACACCCTCCTTCTCAATCTCTTCCCCTGGCAACTAATTTGGCCTCTATTCTAATTGTGTCATTACAAGATTGCTCTATAAATGGAATCATAGTGGTTAACCTTTAGGGACTGGCTTTTTTCAGTAAGCATAATTTTGTGAGTGTTCATCCAGACTGTACCACTGGTTGTTCTTTTTTATAGTTGAATAATATTCCAAGTACAGAACCTTTTGAGTCTGGCTTCTTTAGTTCAATATAACACCTTTGTGATTCATCCCAGTTGTTCCATTTATAAATAGCTTGCTCCTGTCCATTGCAGAATGGGATTCCACTAATGAATGTATCACAGTTTATTTAGCCATTCACCAGTGAGGGGTTTGGGGTGTTTCCATTTGGAGCAATGCTGAATAAAGCTGGTATATCTGCATATAAGTTTTTGTTTGAACATGGGTTTTCATTCTACTTGGATAAAAACCTAGGTATAGGATTTGTTTGATAATAGGTTAAGTGTATGTTTATAAGAAGCTACTCCACAACTTTCCAAAGAGATCATACCTTTTCATTTTCCCACAAGCAATGTGTAAGAACGTCCATTGCTCTACATCCTCACTCGCACTTAATATTAATGGTTTTTTAGAAAGAGGTAAAACTCTTTTAACATGAAGTTCACCATTTTAAACCATTTCAGTGGTACAATGCAGTGTAACCATACCCTCTATCACGTTCCAGAATATGTTAATCACCCCAAAAGGAAACACATATGCAGTCACCTTCCATTGTTCCCTTTCCCAGCCCCTGGCAACCACTAATCAAGTCTCTGTCTTCCTGGATTTCCCTATTCTGGACATTTCATATCAATGGAATCATGCAGTGTATGGTCTTCTGTGTCTGACTTATTTTACTGAGCATGTTTTCAAGGTTCATCCAGATGTGTTTTTCTTTTTAAGGCTAAAGAATATTGCATTGTATGGATATACCATGTTTTGCTTCTTCATTATTTTTTTTTTATAGAGGCATGTTTTCTTTCTTTCTTTCTTTCTCTCTCTCTCTCTTTCTCTCTTTCTTTCTTCATGCACTGGGTACAGTCAGAAGCACGGGAGGGTGAGAGAATTCACCAGAGGCAGAGCGGGGAGCAGAGCAGGCAGAAGGACCGAAGTACACTGCTGAGGGGAGCAGCGGGCGGCAGGAGAGGTCTGCGCGCCATGCGGGACCCTCCTCCGGTGGCCGGGAAGCAGCCGGGGATCGAACCGGCGCCGCAGAGGCCGCGGGCAGCTTCGCAACCCAGCGCTCAACCGCTGCGCCACCGGGGAGGCCCTCGATACCTTTTTAGCGTTTACTTTGGGTATATGCCTACAGTGCATTGTGGAACATATGGTAACTCTAAGTTTAACTTTTTAGGAACCACCTAACTGTTTTTCTACAGTGATTGTGGCATTTTACTATCCTACAAGCAATGCACAAAACTTCACATTCTCACCAACACTTAGTATTTTCTTTTCTTAAATTATTATAGCAATCCTACTGGCTGTGATTTTGATTTTGTGGTTTTGATTTGCATTTCCCTCTAATGCCTGACAGTGTTGAA